CAGGGTCATCCCTCAGCCCCAGCCCCACCCACTGCACTCAAACCAGGACATACAGAATCCGTACTTGTAATTCTTTCACCATTTCTTTCTGTTTTTCCAGTTCTTTCTGGAGCAGGGCCATTTGTTCTCTGGTGTGGGCATTTATCTCCTCAAGACGTTTAATTTCTTCTTCCTGGATTAACACTTGTCTATCTGCCAATTCTTTCTTTATAACCAATTCATTATATCCATCTGATTTTTCTCTCAATTTTTCTCGCAACAATTCAACCTAAACACACATAGCAAAAACAAAAAAAAGCATGAGAAATAAAATAAGACTATTAAAAGCCTACTTTCCAAATTAAACACGCGCGCACACACACACACACACACACACACACACACACAGTGCAACTGACAGAAAACAAACACTGTGTTTTTCTATCCTTTGGCTACACAGTGAAATCTAAAGAAAGAATACAATACAGTTGTTTTAAGAAGAGTATTCTTGGGCTGGGGCTTTAGCTCAGTGGCACTGTGCCTGCCTCACAAGCACAAGGTCCCGAGCTCAATCCCCGGTACCAAAAAAAAATGTTAGCAAAGTAAAACTTACTTTGACCAAAAGGAATAGGTTACTACTGAGCAATAAAAATAAAAGGAACTATGGAGAAAGCAGCAACTGTAAGAATCACCCAGAGAAAGAGGAAGAGTTAAAAAGCCAATCCCAAACAGTGACACGCACAATACCATGTACACAGTATTACAGAGATAACATTGTGCACACAGAGGTCAGGTCAATGGCCAGGGACCAGAAGGGCTGTGGTGAGAAAGGGCAGCAGAAATGTCCTGTGGGCCTGATGCTGGGGTGGTGTCATTGCTTTCTTGTCAACGCCAGGTCATGGTGCTGGGTTCCAGTTCTACAGACGTGACCACTGAGAACAAAGGATCTCCGCATCTTACGACTACATGGGAATCCAGTGTCCTCAAACAAGCTCAATTTTTAAAAACGAATAAGCAAATCAACTAGAGCTACCTCAGACAAGCAGATGCAGAGAGCTGTAGCCTCAAGCAAAAGCAAGCAAGAAGCAGGGTATTGCGCACAGCCCCAAGCTGGCCGTGCAGGCGAGGAGACGTGCCCCATAGCAGTGTGCACCAGCTGAGGCAAAGGGTGAACTGCAAGTGTGCCCCGTGCTGTCCATCCTACCTTCTCATCCAGCCACACGTACTGCTGTTCCACGCACGTGGGAAGCAAACATGGAAGGAAGAAAGAACCTCAGAACACCACGGGGACTTGGCTCCCCACAGACCTGGCACACAGCACAGTACCTACCTGTTGATCGTGAGGGCCTGGAGGCCGCAGCCGGGCTGCCTGGCGGAGCTGCCCCTCCAGCTTCTGGATCTCCTGCTGGAACTCTTCACGCTCATGCTCACGCTCAGCAGCCTGCTCCTGCAAGGAGAGGTCACATGTTAGCAAGGCCCAGTGGGAGCCTGTGAGCGACCTTCACAGCTAGGACCCAGGCTCCCACTGCATACCGTCCACCCACCCAGTACAGGCTCACTCTGGGTCCCCCTCATCACAGTCATTTTTGTAAAAGGGAGTTAAGCAGAAGAACATCCTTTATACGACAAACAAAGGAGGCCTCCGAATCTAGGACAAAGTTTGGAGACTGGCAGACAGGATGCCATAGTAAGAACAGCTCGATTGCTAGAACTTCTCCCAGGACCACAAGAGGAAATGTGGGCCAAGAAGATGAGAAAACCTTCCTTTGGAATCATCACCACAAAAGGCAGGCAGGGCCAAGTGCCCACCCAGAGCCAGGGTGGCACAGTAACTTGTCTGTCCAGGAGAGCACAAGACACTCATCCTCAACCATTCATTGGAGACTCTGTCTATGCTGTAACGACGGCGCCTGGGGATGAGAATAAAATCTGCAGTCCAAACTCCTTACGTCCATGAACTGCCGCTGGCTGCGTAGATGTTTGTCCAGGGCTGCCAACTGCTGCTTCAGAGTGGCCGCCTGCTCAGCCTGCCGGGCACAGCCCTGGTGCTGCCTGAGCTGGTCCTCCAACTCAGACTCTAAGATCTGCATCTGTGAGAGCAGAGCCGCACGGTCCTTCTCCGCCTGCCTCCTGGCCTCCAGCTGCTCCCTGGTTAGAGACTCCACCTCCTTCTGCAGCGCTGAGGGGATGGAGAAACAGACATGGAGGAGCCCGCCTTGGAGCACAGATGGCTGCAGCAGGGCTCGTGCAATGTGCACACCTGGAGGGTGAAGGTTGACAGACTGGAGCTAGACCCTGGGGGGCTGTCACTCATCCACCCTCCCTGGGAGTGGGCTCCAGCAGGCACCCATGCACAGGTCTCATTCCCTTTCCAAAGCCTGCCTCCCTCGGGGCTGTGACAGAGTGGCTAAAGCCATCAAGAGGGTGAGTTCTGCCACCCTGTCTCTGCCAGGCTTCAACCCCAGTACTAATACGTCTATGACTTTGTCAGATACTCTGAAAATAAACACAAATTACTTTGAAAACAAAAATGGTATTTTTAAGCGAAAACTGGATAAAAGAGAGCCATGACGTGCTTTGGAAAAAAGCAAAGGAGCAATGAGTAAATCAAAAGACAAACTCAGATTAACTGGGGCTGTGGCTTCAAGTCCGTCCCCTTCAAAATTCAGCTGGGGACTCAGGAGTGGTGGCACGTGCTTGTAATCCCAGCACTTGCATGGCTGAGCCATGAGGACTGCCTCAAGTTCGAGGCCAGCCTGGACTACATAGTGAGAAACCCTCAAAAAACAAAGCAAACAAACAAAAAAACCTCAGCTGGATGGAGGGGCCAATGTGACAGCTCCAAAAGGGGCCTTGGGAGGGATCAGGCCTCCAGGGCTCCACCTCCTGGGTGGGTTTAGTGTCTCAATCAAAGGGATTTCAAGAAGGACACTTTCTTGGTCCTTCCCTTCCTCTTGGACTCCCAGTCTCAAAAGCTATGAGATAAACTTCTGTTATTTATAAATCACCCAGTCTCAGGAATTCTGTTACAGCAACACAAAATGGAGTAAGACACTGGATGATGAGGCTCCAATTTAAGCAGAAACTATGAATCAGTAAGCATCTTGAAAGGGGGCTTGCTGGTGATGAATCCTGAGTCCTTACCCAAAAATGGAAACACTAAGTTTATAACTTCTTAGTTTTGTTTCCCCAGCTTTCAAAACTTAATTATTTTGGTTTGTAAAAAGCTGTCAGTCTACAGTCATTATCATTAATGTAACATTCTCGAAACATTTCATGCTAATAAGTCAGCAGTTATAAAAAAATTTCAACTTAAACATGCAATTGAAACAGTGTCAATCACAGACTTTAAGAGGAAAGAACGGGAAGGCCCTGCCTACAGTCCCCCTCAGGGTGCAGTCCCCTCATGGCCCATGGAGGCTGTGAAGGCGCAGCAGGCTGAGGGCCTACTGGGGGACCCAGGGAGTCACAGAGCTCCGGCAGTGCCCTCTCGCCCTAGAGGCCTTTCAGGAGGTTGGAGGGAACCCCACACACACACCGTGGTTTAGTAACTGCAGCAATCATTAGAGAAATTCTTGCACTTCGCTACAGCATTGAAATGGGACAACTCAGTCAATTTTTATGAACGATTCTTGAAGATTACAGTGTAATTATAATAGTATGCCATAAAAGCTCCAAAGTACTTGACAAAATCTGATGCAAGCATACAGTCCAGCACGCAGAAATCACACTTGTTCTTACAAACCTGAGTCCCTATGTGCTGCAGTAACACGAGTGCCTACAAAGGAAAACACAGAGCATCACAGAGATGGACTCAAGAACCCTGAGCCAGGGATGGCAGAAACAAGTGGAGAGCCAGCACCATTCCAGGGCACACTTAGGCCCTGCACATCCGTGACTGTCCTTGTGTGGTCACGGGCCTGGCGCCTAGGCCTCTGCATCGACTTTTAGAGGAAATAAAGACAACAAAACAAGACAGACGCCACACCTCAAAGAGGGTCTCAAAATAGTGCACAGCTAGGGGGGCACACACAAGGTGGTGACACACAGTTGAATCCGAGCACCAGGCTGCTCAAGGCTCTTGGGAAGGCAGTCGATGTTCACAGAACCGGGAGAGTCAGGAGCACATCTGGACCCCCACAGTCAGGGAAGCACTACCGATCTGCACAGAACAGTAGTGTCAGAGGGTGAGGGAGAGGCCAGGCAGAGAAAGTGCACAAGGAAGCCACCCAAGGCCACCCAGAGGACAATCCTGCAGCAGCCTCCCCTCAAACTCAGAGCCGCCATGGTGGTGGCCCAGGGAACCAGAGCTGAAGAGAGCAAGGGCAGCCTTAAGGTGTAGGTGTCAGGAGAGCCAGGTCAGATCTTGAGGTGCCAGAGCACAGCACAGGCACAGGGACTGCCCAGCTCCGGCCTCAGGGGGCTGTGCAGCAGCTCTGCAGGCCTCAGGCCTCTTTACCCCAACGTTCATGTTAAGTCACCAGGAAGGAGTGCAGCCCAGCTTCCTGCTGGCTGTGGCCGTGACGCTGGAAACAAGGCAGGGACCGGGTCCTGAGGACAGAAGGGTCAGCCCTTAAGGGTCAGTCCAGGAGGACAAAAGAGACTTAGACCGTAGGCTGAACAAGGTGAGCGTGGGAGCCCACTTGGACCTGTGACAGGGACATGGGAAACATCTGCAGTACAGAATAAAGTGGGGCTGCCGGCCCCAGAGCATCAATGGGAAGAAAGGGGCTCAGACCGGGGATTTAGCTCAGTGGTTTCGCCGCCTGCTGCGCAAGCACAAGGACACGAGTTCGATCCCCGGTACCAAAACAAAAAACAAAAAAAGGGGGCCCAGAGCCGTGTGGTCAGCTATGCCTTCACGGGAGGGTGAGGGCAGCACTCGCATAGGCCCCCTGGAAGCATGGGGCCCCGAGACAGCGGGGAAGATGCCTAGCTGAGTGTACAGCTTCACAACTGAGGAGCACATCCCCATCAATCCCAGGAGGTGGGAAGGAGGCCCCAGAGAGGAGAGGGCACCCTCACAGCGAGCACCCGGAGACAGGGCACCCATGGCAGAACACCTACGAGGACCAGCAAGCTGCCCGTAGCATCCTTGGTCCTCAGAATCACAGGCTTGGAGAACCCAAACCATCAACTCAAGAGCCACAGGTGAAGAACTGTGTGTCCCACTGAGATCATCCTATAGAGGAGACAACAGGCACCGCAGAAAGCACACACTTCAGAAGAGCTCACAAAGTCAAGGAGGCAAGAACAAAGAAAAGGCAAAAATCAGAAAACAGAGGACAGAGAAAATAAAAGTGGTTCATAAAACTAAAAGCTAATAGTTTTTTAAAAAAAAAAGAATAAAGAACTTTTGGAAAGAAAATGAGATTTTTCTGAATGGGTTAGGTCAGTGCACATAATCTTGTTCTCATAGGAAGTCAGTATTTCAGAAGAGACTGCCTCTCGTGCTGCCACCTCCTAAAAGGTGACCTCCGAGCAGCAAGGTCCTTCCTGCAAGTGTCCGTGTACACATCTACGAGAAGACATGCATGCCAGCATTTACAAGAGGGCTGTTTGGGCCAGGCCACTCGAGGTCCTGAGCATATGGGTGGCAGAAAGTGCCAGCCAGAAGACAAGAGAAATCGGGAATGAAGGGGGCCTAAGGGTGGAGCCACCCAGGTCCTATAAGAGCCCCCAAACTCATTCTGACTACCACCAACCTAAAGATGGCAACCTTTTAAGCTTATGTTTTTGACTGGTTTCATTTTAAATATTTAAGACTAACATATCTAAAAGTCTGAAAATGTATGAACTACTTGGGCTAAAACTGTATGTTTTCCTAATTAAGGGTCACATCAAATACTGACTTTCAGCGTAGTATTAGAGGAGCTCAGTTTTACAGCCCAGTACTTTAACCTGCTGCCCCAGAGCTGTCCTCCCGCGCAGACAATCAGGACATTTGTGCAGCACCAGCCTGCAGGGCCGGACCCTCACCAGCCACCCTACCAAAGCCAGCGCTTCACAGAGACAAGCACAGGTGCAGGCTCCTCAGCAGCAAGCACCTCCTTCCAACGTTTCACATACCGGCTGCTCTTGCTTCCGCCTCCACAGCCTGAGCCTCCTTCTGGCTCCAGAGCAGGGAGTGCTCCTCTCTCAGCCCAGCCTGCTCCTTGGCCGCCTGCTGCAGTTGCTGGCCCAGACTCTCCAGTTCCAGGACTAGCTGCTGCTCTGATGCCTCCTTCCGGGCCAGTGCCTCCTGCAGATCCGCCTTCTCTACCCTGAGTCCTTCAAGGAGGCCTAAAAGGAACCCAGATGAGGTGAGGGTGCTCAGACCCTGCAAGGGCATGTGGACAAGGGGCCCGCCCAGAGACCTGCACATGAGTCCTGGGAGGCTCTGCAGGGTGACTCCTGGTGAGCACCACAGGCTCTGACCATCCAAGAAAGAGGGGCCCCAGGACAAGGTCAGACCCTGGAAAGAGCAGCACAGAGTGGCCACCCATCCTGTGCTGAGCCACTGAGTGGCCTCTGTGCTGTGCATGCTGGGAGGGACTACGCATCAGACACCCCACGCCTTTCACCAGAAGAGCAGGGTAGCACAGTGCCAAGTGCCCAGTGTGCCCAAGGCCTGTGTGCAGTCCCTGAACAGCCTAAGCCAATCCTCCCAATGTTTCATTGGAAAATACTACTGGTGCCACACAGATTTGCTTTTGAGGATCCTTACTCCTCCTGCTTCTGCAAGTAGGGCTGTGTCTGTTTCTGAGGGACTGTGCTGCCAGGCCCACCACCCCACTCACCCTCTGCTGTGTGCAGCTCCAGGGCCAGAGCGGCCTTTGCAGCGCCCTCTGCCTGCAAACACTCCAGCAGCTGCTGGTGTTTCTGGACAACCTGTGCCGTTTCCTCATTTTTATGGCTAAATTCTTTTTCAAAATGAGAATGAAGCTGGCGTGCTTCCTCTACCTGTCAAAACACATCTGAGTGTCAGAACTGCACAGTAAAAACCACCACAGCCTCTGTTAACCAGTAGAATTCCACCTCCCCCTAGGCCTCTATACCTGCTGGGGGAGGCCACTGGGAGCGAGGCACCCGGTGAGAGCTGTGTGGTGAGGCTGGTGGTCCCCAGTGATTCCAACAGCCTTTGCTCTCTCACCCTGGCTCAGCCCTGGGCCCGCTCCCCACTGCTCCCAGCACTCCCTGGCTCAAATGTCAAGCTGAGGACTCCCTGGCCACCTCCAGGCTGAGGGTCCAGTCAACCTCTCAACTCAAAATGCCTGCATCAGCCGACCCCTGCAGACACTGCAGTCCCGGGGCCCTTGGCTTGCCCGTTAGCCAATGCAAAGCAGGTCTTTTCTGGGGCTCAAGATGTCCATCAGCCTCTTCTGGCTCTTCCTTAAAAATGCTCCAGAGACCACCTCGTACTGTGTCTGTCACCCATATGCCTGTGGGCCACTCCTCCAGCTTCCAGCCTCTCTAACATCTGCGCCTTTCTGTACTCAAGGGCCACTCTGCTCCCCTCCCTCAACAGAGAGATGCAACTTCTCTCGTCACCTCCCCATGCTCCTTCCCCAAGAACACATCCTCTGAAGGTCAAGGTTCTAAATGAAGAGGAGAATGTGGCCCACATAGCTCAGGGCACTTGCCCCAAATGCCCACTTCAAGGCACCGTCTATCCTACAGGCTTGGGGCCTGCTGACAGCACCCGACAATTTGTCAGAAGCCCACATCTAGTCCTGGAGGGGCTGGAAGGTGCACAGAAGGGGTGAGGAGAAATGAGGTGGGCAGGAGGCCAGGAAAAGGAACTCCTGATCCCAACATGAGGAGGAGAGAAAACTCCCTCAATGGCAATACTTCATATAAAAATGCTTATTTTTTTGAACTGGGCTAACTTTGGGGAATCTTCTACTGCTTTCCTCACGCTCCTACCTCAAGTCTTTCCTAATTTTCTAAAAGGTCTAAGAAGCTTAACAAAAATAAGTCTCTTCCTTAGGGATAATCTCTAAATATGAAAACATTCAGTGTGGAACTACAATAATGCATGAAATAAAGTAAAAGAAGTGAATCTGTGTTTTATCTCAAGTACACTGAGATTCCATTTGTCTTAAACTGAGGTTCTATTTGTCATTCATAGCAAGCCAGCTTCCTCAAGAATTTCAATTCAGAAGATTTCTACTAGGGGATGCATGTACAAGAACAATGGGGGCGGGGGAACAACGTGGCCACAGCAAAGGTCGAAGGTCAGAGCCAAGGCAGAGTCTGAGAAGTCAAATCTACCTGGAAACTGAAGACATCCCTCTGCGGGTTGTGCAGTGTGGCTGTGGCCAGATAGCATGTGACACCACTGTCCATCAAGCTATGTCATGTTATCACCTGTCCGTCCCACCCATCATCCCCTCCCCAGCTCACCTGTCGGGAGGAGTCCACAGCCATCTCCAGGAGGCCATCCACAGCCATACTGAGGCTCTGGTAGACTCTCCTGATTGGCTGCTCACACTCCAGCGTACTCTCGGGGCTCATGAAAAAGCTCTCACATACATGACTGCTAATATCCGCCAGTGAAGACATTTCTGCACCTTCAGGTAAAGTTCTGTCCAACTCCAGCAGGGCTGCATCATCAGACCACACCTCTTCCAGTGCTGGAGCTGCAGAAAGAGCACACACTGGCACATGGCACTCAGTGAGCAGGCCAACCCAGGCACCCTTAGAACCAGCACACACACCTGTACATACACCCAAAGAAAGATGGTCCATCTCCTAAGCAAAACTGCGACCCACCTATAGGGACTGGGCAATTCCATCGAGTCCCAATCCTTGTCCTCAAGGAAGGCAGCCTCCCCTGTCCCCACAGGGGACCCATCCTGGCAAACGCACCTGTGGACAGAGCCTGGTCTGCAGCTGTGGTGCCTGTGTGGTCTAGGAGGAACCCCACGCGCTCACCAATTCGGCTCTTCAGGGCAACAGCTGCCTTCAGTGTCTCTCCAAACAAGCCCAGCAGTCTCCTCAGGGCATCGTGAAGTGCTCTCCTAGGAGAGGAAACCACAGTGACCAGAGTCATGGCATGGCTTTACGAATCCCCAGATGTTTCAGGAGATGCTGCCAACTGGCCTGTGCACGACAGTCCCAAGAAGGCATGCTCTAGCACACAAAAGACACTGGTCCCAGGGCTGGGGATTTAGCTCAGTGGTTCCACCACCTGCCTCGCAAGTGCAAAGACCCAAGTTCGATCCCCGGTATCAAAAAAAAAAAAAAAAAAAGACACTCATCCCCAGCCGGAGGCCACAAGAGGCCGCCCTGTGGGTACAGAGCAGAAACTGCTTCTGGGAGGGAGGAGATGGGCTTGTGGGGCACTACAGGGATTTAAAGGGAGATAACAGTGCTTTTTTATAATTTAGGAAAACATGAAGATTTGGCAAAACCAAGGGGCAGGAAGGCAGGTGTTTTTGACATTTCTGAGCTACTTTCCTTGCTGTTTAAGTGTGAAGAATGGCCTGCTTGGATCTAGTCCACCAGCCAGGAACCTGGAGATGACCCCACAGCAAGTACAGCGGTCTGGAAGGAGGCGGCTGCAGCACCACCAGTGGGTGGCAAGTCAGGTAGCGCAACGACAAGGACACACTGACCTTTCACCCTGAGACAGGTCCACGTCCGCCCTGAGCATGGAGATGAGCGTGGCACCCTCCTGGTTCTCCCTCTCACGCCTCTGCTGCAGCCTCTCAAGCTCAGTGCGGCACTCTTCTATCTCCCGACTTAAGGACAAGACTTGGCCTTTCAGCTGTTGAGAAATAGTGTTAAACCTGTTACAGCAATGTACTTAAAGAGTAAGTGGCTACCGAGGAATTCCAGCATAATTTTCAAGATCAATAAAAGTATGGCAAAAGGTGAACAAGGGGGTGATTAAAGATAAAAATTGTTAATATGTTTTCCTTCCATTATTAGTCTCTTATGGAAGAAAAAAAAGACTTACACATAACCCCAGCCTGCCCCTGCCACCAGGGCATGAAGGGGCAGGCTCACTAGATATCCCCACAACTAATAATTCAAAGTACAATTCCTGTACCTGGTCATTCACAGTAAAAATTAGTTACTAGCCAGGCAGAGATCCTTCTAACACATTTCGCTCCAAAAATAAACCTTCAGTGACTTGGTGGGTGGCACCCGCCTCCCTGGGTGTTACTGGCTCGCAGTAGGTGGCCACAGGCCGTGCGATCTTCCGGAGTAGCTTAAGAAAAGCAGCAATGCAAACACCCCAGCTGGACGGAGCCCCTCAACCCAGGCATCTCTGCCCAGGGCCAGCTCCAGGCGCAGGGATGGCCCAGGACCCAGCAGGCTCACCAGGATGAATGTGGGTGTCCTCTAAATGGGAGGAAGGCACCCAGAGCACTGCCACACTCGTTCACAGGGAAGGCGGGCAGACAGCACGTGCAAGTACCTCATCAAGGACAACTCAGACAGTGCCCCATCTCTGCTCTACAGGGCAAGCAGCTCCAGCCCAGGAACAAAGCAGGAGGAGCCAAAACCAAGTGGCCTCCAGGTAGAGAAGCCCATGCTGGGACAGCACCGAGCAGATGGAAACTGCATCTCTGCCTGCCAGCAAAAGCGGCCACGTGAGGTATGGAGGACATGAAGGACAGGCAGAGAGGCCAGTGAGGAACCCTAAGGAACATTAATACAGAAAGAAGATGTGCGCCAGAAGAAGAAGAGAATGTAATTCTGCAGCCAACTCACCACCAGGAGCCAAAGCTAACCATCAACACAGTGACAGTGGACAGGAAACAAAAAAAATACAGATTCTATAGAACTACTGGCTGAGTTAGACCAAGACAGGTGACTGGGAAAATTAAAGAAAACAGAAGAAATAAGCAAAAGATTCCAACTTTCAGGATGGCAAACAATGACCAAAAAAATGATTAAGAGCCAAAAGATGGACAGTGTACACCAACTGCCACAAGGACCCGGAGCTGAACTCCTGATGGGCCGGGCCAGGGCCTTGACAATGGACAGCACAAAGTCTCGGGCCAGGAGGTGACCAAATCGGACTGAGGGCTGATTCTACTCACAGAGCCCAAGTATGCCTGCCAGTCCTGCTCCCTGCTTTCATCAGAAGACCTGGGGTTAAAATTAAATTGGTAACTGAAAATCTTTCCACAAAGAAAGTTTACAGACAGACGTCACTCCAGTGCTGGGGACTGAACCCAGGGCCTTCTGCTATACCATTGAGCTGCATCCCCAGGCCTTTTTATTATTTTTTTTACTTTGAGACAGGATCTCACTAAGCTGCCCAGCCAGCCCTCAAATCTGCCATCCTCCTGCGTCAACTTCCCAAACAGCTGGGATATGGGCATGCACCACCACAACCACATGACAGCTTTGGAGGAACTGCTAATTCCAGATCACTCCAAATTTACCCAAATTATTTCAAAGACTAAAGGAGTAGGATTTGGGTCATTTATTTTCTAAGTCTGTACCATAAAAGAAAGAGAAATTATAACTCAGTCATACTGAAAGATACAGAATAAAAGTTTTAAAAAGAATACTAGAAGCTGGCTGTGGTGGCACATGTCTGCATTCCTAGGGCTGAGGAAGGCTGAGGCAAGAGGATGGAAAGTTCAAGTCCCACCAGGGCAACTTAATGAGATCATGTCTCAAAATAAAAAGGGCTGGGCATGCAGCTAAGTCCAAAGGCCTGAGTTTAATCCCCAGCACAGAAAAATCAAAATGAAAGAAACAAAATTAGAAAATAAAGTCCAGAAATACATGAAAATCATGTCCAAAGTTTTTGTTTTGTTTTGTGATACTGGGGACTGAACCCGGGACCTTAACACTGAGCTTCATCCCCAACCCTTTTTGAAACAGGGTCTTGTTAAGTCATTAAATTGCTCAAACTGGGCTCGAACATGTGATTCTCCTGCCTCAGCCTCCCAGAGTATTGGGATTACAGGTGTGTTACTGGTTTTATTGGAACTTGAGTTACAAAACTGCACAGATCTTGTGTGGTATACCTCTAGCCCCATACTGTCCATTAGTTATGTTATTTTCAGGTATTTTTACAGAATGACAAGTTCTTCGGGGAGTTACATATTGCCACAGCATAAATACCTGTTCCTGTGAAGAAAAAGCCTCAGAAATGCTCTGAAACAGCTTTGCTCCCTCACAGAGCCCCCAGTGTGGATGAGGCTGCCCCTTACATCCTCACCCCGGCCTCCTCTGCTCTGCACCGCCTTGGCCTCATGAGCAGTCCAGAGCCATCTCTGGACCTGCTGCTGCTGACTGACCGCTGCTCCAATCCCACCAAGACTCTCCCAGTGTTTCAAGTCAGGCAGCCACAAGCATTTGGGCCGGGCCCAGTGCACTGGCCACCTGGACAGCAGTGGATGAGAGCTGTGCAGAAAGGAGGACACTGTGGTGTGCGGCACAGTGCCTGACACACACTCACCTAGGTCAGGGGCAGCAACCCTGCATCACAACAAAGTCAGGAAGGCGCAGTGCTGCCCTCTCAAGGGTCAGCAGTGGGATGGTCTCTAAACTGTGTGAAAACACATCCACACCTTTTGATGCAAAATGAAGAGCAATCTCACAACAAAAGCCACCTAACTCTCTTATTATTAATATTTGCTTTGTAAAAACCACTAACATTTAATAAAAATTTGGACCTGAACAAACGTTTCTCTGAAGATGTACAGGGAGCCAATAAACACGTGAGGAGATGCTTGATATCACTAATCATTAGGGAAACACAAGTCATACCCATTGGGATGGCTCTATTAAAAAAGGGGGGTGGATACCAAAGGTTGACAGGATGCAGAGAAACTGGAACCCCTGCACTCTGCTGGGATCAAACTGTACACCAGTCTTCCCTGCAGCATTGTGCAATTGCCAAAAGAAGGAAAGAAACTAAGTGTCTAAGAACAGATAAACAAAGGTGGTATGCATACACAATAGCATATTCAGCCACAAAAAGGAATGGCATTTTGAATTATGCCACAACACGGATGGACCTGGAGGACACCATGTTAAGTGAGTTAAAGTGGCCACTAAAGGATAAATACTGCATGTTTCTACTTCTCTAAGGCTCCTAGTCAAATTCATAAAGATGAAAAGCAGAGTGTTAGGTCCCAGAGGCTGGGGAGGGGGAGGCAGCGGCGGGGAGTTCTTGACTAGTAGGTACAGTTTGATCTTACAAGATAACAAGTTATGCAAGAGGGACAGTAGTGATGGACACATAACACTGAATATACTTAATGTCACCCAAATGTAAACTTAATGTTAAATAGCAAACTTTTTATACATACTCTACCTTCCAGGAAAGGTGTATCCACGTACCTGCTGGGTCTGGCTATCCTCTTGCAGCGGGGGCAGGTCCTGCTCCTGGGAAAGACCCGGCACCGACTCATGCTCCAGTCTGTGCACCTCCTCTTCACTCACAGCAGCTTTCTGCTCACTTTCAAATTTACCCTGTACGAAAGTACATTAACAACAACAAATGCCGTTAAGCAAGGCATTATGCTTATCCTGAGTCTCTGCTGCACGCTAGGACTCAGCACATCCCTCGAGCATCTGCTGAGCCTCGGCCCTCACCAGGAGCATCAGACAGGCCACCATCAACTCCACACAGATGCACACACTCCTGTGGCTCACCACGCAAGACCTAGGAGAGGCCCTCACTCCAGGACTCCATGTCCAGGAGGACAGTGCCATTCGACAGTGGCTACAGCCTTGGCAACTGTGGCTGGATCACCACACAGAGCCACTCAGAATTCTCCATCAGCTGGAATCCAGACCATGACAGTCCAAGCCATTCAAACACCAGGTTCCTTCTGCTTTAACAGGCAAAAACTCTTTCTTCTCAATTGTAAGACATGTTCTTAATAAGCTTCACCTAAACTACCATATTCGTGAAATGTTTATGTTTTTAAAAAACCACACAGGTAGGGAGACCCAACAGGGCTGACTAGAGGAGCTGCATCAGAGATACTCAGAGAAGATTTACTGAAAATACGGGTACTCTGAGGTGGGGAAGGGACTTATGCCCTGGACAGTTGCAAAGGGGAAGCTGTGCTGCCACGGCTGGTCTGTACCACTCCTAACCCTGCTCTCTCAACAGCAGCCACCAGGAAAGCATCCCCAACAGCCTGAGGGGACACGTGAGTGCTGCAGAGGCTGGACTCCTGGCACAGACCCTGTGCATGCCAGCCCTTCTCAGCACCCTCTGCAAACATGGGGAATGCTGCAGCCCAGTGGCATCCTCTCCCAACTTACTGCAGGCAAGAGAAGCCCTTTCCCACCCCAACTCTGGGCAGAGGGGATAAACAAGCAAACGATGCCCACTCAATCTACCTGGCACCCATGCCCACGGAGGGCACAGCTGCTTACAATCAGACTGCAACTAAGACAAGAAGGAGGCTGCGTGGACACTCCGGCTTTGTGGCACAGTGGTCACGGGGGAACTACACGTACATTCTCTTACTGGAGTTAGATCTGAGTCTCCACAGGACTTTTTTGTTACTTTTCTTGCTTTTTCCCCCCTTGCTTTGATTAGCTGTCTACTTCCTCCCTCTCTTCTCCCTATTCCTTTTCTTCAATTCTAACTACTGTAGCATACTATTTTGTTATTTTGTTTCCCACTTTTTAAATTCAAGTTCCCCTATGTTCCTCTATATTCCCCTATATTCCGCTCCCTCAGTCATTCCTATCTTCTCTTGTATTAACATTCTGCCCTCTCTAATCTGTTCTTTTTCTTCCCCTTTATCTTACCTCACCCCTTGTCTTCCCTCCTTATAGGTCTCTTCTCCACCTTACAGGTGCACAAATAATATGAACAGGTTCTGACAATCTCACAGGTCTCCTCAATCCCAAATTACTCCTCCCTTCACCTACACCCTGTTCCTGTCCCGACAGTATCTTTGTAAAACCTCAACACAAACCCTTCAACTGTAAGAGACCACTACCGGAATATGGCCCAACCAGGATCTTTACCTGTCACTACTTCTCCTCACAGCCCTCCTCCACCCACGCCTCCAACTCTTCCCTTCCCTTCTTCTCTCACTCTGCAGACTGCTAACAATGCCACAGTCGCTAAGGGTGAGAGCATAAATACAAAGTTTAACACATCCAAGTGATACTTGATTGGATATGTTGATTACCAGCCGCAATTCATTCTCTCCTCACAACACAGTGAGAGAGCCAAATTACCTAGGTAAATAGCTGATGTGGTAAACACTATCTCTGAACAAATAAAGCCACAAACATATCACTGGAAGGCATAATCTAACTTAAAAGATCTTCATGCCAACTACAATCTCTCCTCACTCTACTTGACCTCAACCTTCAATACAAAAAGCAGAAACAAAAACAAACTCATGGAGGGAGTGAGAGAAAAGGCAACTGTCCCGCAGCAGATTCAGGGGGCACCAACGGAGAGGAAGGCAAACACCTGGTAGCAGAGCTTTGTGAATTGATTAAAAGAGAGGTAAAGAAACTTGGTGAGTTCAAAGAAGACATTACCCAAAAGTTCATGGAATTGTCATACAAAATGACCAACGTGGGCCGGGGATTTAGCTCAGTGGTTTCACCGCCTGCTGCACAAGCGCAATGACCCAAGTTCGATCCCCAGTACCAAAAAAAAGAAAAGAAAAGAAAAGAAAAAGACAAAATGTCCAACGTGGATATGGAAGAAACAGAAAGTTAGAAGAGCTGACCAAAACTGTTCAAAACATGAATGACAAGGCAAAGAGATAAACAAAAAGAAAAAACACAGGACTCATCAACAGAAAAGGAATGCAATGTCAGGACTAAGTCAAACCTTTTAGCAATAACTCTCAATATTAATGGCCACAACTTCCCAATTAAAAGACAGAAATTGGCAGACTGGATCAAATAACAAAATCCAATAGTCTGTTGCATTCAAGAAACTCATCTAATCCAAAAAGATAGTCACAGACTAAAAATCAAAGGATAGAAAACAATATTTCATATACCAGGACCCTGAAAACAAGCAGAGGTAACAATTATACTCTCAGAAAAAGTAAACTTCAAGCTAAAACCAATCAGATGAGGCAAAGAAGGTCACTACATACTAAGGAACAATCCAACAGGAAGAGATAATACTAGTAAACATATACGCACTGAATACTGGAGCAACTATCTTCATAAAACAAAGACTGGTGAACATAAAAGATCAAATACACACCAATACAATCACAATGGGTGACCTCAATACCACACTTTCACAGAGGCAGCTCAAGTAAACAAATCAGAGTTGAATTATATGTTATACACTACAGTGCTGTAAGTTATACAAATAGAAGCAAAGTCATCAAGCTGGAGTTTCCTTTAACTACTTCTTTGTTCTGAATATTATAATGTACACACGACATACTATTCCTCATTAGCAACCAATTCATTTAACGATCTAGTCGCAGAACCATAACTTGGCCATTAAAGAAGGAATGTCTGTAGATAAGCCCTTAGCCAAATTTACCATAAGACAGAAAAGACTCACATAAATTCAATTAGAAATGAAAAACGCAAAATCACAATAGACACCATGAAAAATCAGAAAACAGTAATTATTACCAAAAAACCTGAATTCTAACAAACTAGAAAATCTTGAAGAAATGGGACAGATTCCAAGACTTAAACAACTTACCAAAAGTAAACCAAGAAGACATAACAATTCTGAACAATCCAATACCAAGCAATAAAATTGAGGCAGTAATAAAAAAACCTACCAACTAAGAAAAGCCCAAGACCTGATGGATTCACTGCTGAATTCTACAAGATCTTTAAGAATCATACATCACCAATAGTCCTCAGCTGGAGATGGTGCCACATGCCTATAATCTCAGCACTCAGGAGGCTGAAGCAGGAGGATCACCATGAGTTTGAGGCCAACCTGAGCTACAGTTAGTTCAAGGCCAGCCTGAGCTACATAGCAAGAGCTTGTCTAAGAAAGAAAAGAAAAGAAAAGAAAAGAAAAGAAAAGAAAAGACAGAGAGAGAGAGAGAGACTCCTCAAACTCTCTAATGAAATTAAAAGAAAAGGAGTCCTTCCAAACTCATTTCTGGAACCCAACATCATCACTCTGATCCCAAAACCAAACAAAGACCCAACTAACAAAGAGAACTACAGACCAATTTCTGTAATCAACGCAGATGCAAAAATTCTCAACAAGATACTGGCAAACAAAATGCAACAAATGGTCAAAAAGATCATATATCATGACCAAGGAGGTTTCATCCCAGGATTGCAAGGATGGTTCAACACAAGCAAATTAATAAATTTAATACACCACATAAACAGAAGGACAAAAACCACATGATCACCTCAGGAGATGCAAAAAAAAAAAGCTTCTGACAAAATTCAACATATATTCATGATAAAAATACTGAAGAAGACAGGGTTTCAGTGGTGCCATCACCTGCCTCACAAGCGCAAGGTCCCAAGCTCGATCCCCAAGTACAAAAAAAAAAAAAAAACCTTACCTGAATCTGATAAAATCCATCGAAGAGAAGCCAACAGCCAACATCATATTACATAGGGAAAAACTGAAAGCATTCCCCCTAAAATCAGGATAAGGACAAGGATGCCCATTATCAGCACTTCTGTACAACACAGTATTCAAAACATAAGCCACAGCAATCAGGCAAGAGAAAAAAATTAAAGTGATATGCATAAGAAAGGAAGAAGTAAAATTATTATTTGCAGATAGCATGATGCTCTGCATAGAAGACCCAAAACATTCCACCAAAAGACTCCTAGAATCAATAACCAAATTCAGCAATGTAAGCAGGATACAAAATCAACACACAACAATCAATAGCATTCCTATATAATAATAATGAAACCATTGAGAAAGGAATTAGGAAAACAATACCATTGACACTAGACTAAGAAAAATTAAATACCTAGGAATTAATTAAGGAAGTGAAAGATCTCTTCAATGAAAACTGTAGCACTCTGAAAAAGAAAATCAAAGCGGACTTCAGAAAATGGAAAGATATTTCTGTTCCTTGATAGGGAGAAACAACCTTGCCAAAATGAACATGTTTCCTTTTTTGTTTTTCCCTCGGTACCAGGAATCAAACTCAGGACCTTATGTTTGTCAGGCAGGCATGGTGCCCCTGAGCTACATCTCCGGCCCCAAAATGAACATATTTCCAAAACTGATATATAGATTTAATACAATCTCAATCAAAGTATCTACAGCATTCCTTGCAGAACTGGAGAAAACAATCCTAAAATGCACAGGGAACCAGAAGAGACCTAGAATAACAAAAGCAGTGCTGGACAAGAGAAAAGCAGGAGGCGTCACAATACTACCTGACTTCAAGTTAAATTACAAAGCTACAGTGATGAAAACGGCACGGAACTGGCACAAAACTAGATATGTGGATCAATGGAACAGAACAGAGGACAGAAACAAAAATGAATCAAGAAAACTAAGCAGAGCCTCA